TAGAGAGCTTAGAAATAAACACATTCATATATGGTCAACTAATTTACAAGAAAGGAACCAAAAATATACAATGGGGAACAGACAGTCTCTTCAATAAATGTTGTTGAGAAAACTGGACAGCCACATGCAAAAGAATAAAACTGGGTGACAATTTTATACACAAAAATTAACTTAAAATGGATTAGAGAATGTAATATAAGACCTGAAACCATAAAACTCCTAAAAGAAAACATAGGCATTAAACTTCTTGAGGTAGGTCTTAGTGAGAATTTTTTAAATCTGACACTGAAAGAAAAAGCAACAAAAGCAAAAATAAACAAGTGGGACCACATTAAACTAAAAAGTGACTGCACAGCAAAGGAAACTATCGACTAAATGAAATGGAAACATGATGGGATAAAATGTTTACAACTCATATATCTGATAAGGGGCTTATATCCAAAATATATAAAGAACTCAAAACATTCAATAGCAAAAAAAAATAAATAAATAAGATTAAAAAATGGGCAGAGAATCTAAATAGACATTTTCCCAAAGAAGACATATAGATGGCCAATGGGTACAGAAATAGATGCTCAACATCACTAACCATCAAGGAAATGCAAATTAAAATCACAATAAATATGTCACATCTGTTAGAATGGCTATTATCAAAAAGATAAGAGATAACAAATGTTGGCAAGGATGTGGAGAAAAGGGAACCCTTGTGCACTGTTGGTGGAAATGTAAATTTGTGAAGTCACTATGGAAAACAGTATGGATGTTTTTCAAAAAATTAAAAACAGAACTACCATATGATCTAGCAATTCCATTTTTTGATATTTATCCAAAGAAAACAAAAACACTAATTTGAAAAGATATATGCACCTCCATGTTCATTGCAGCATTATTTACAATAGCCAAGATATGAAAACAATCTAAGTGTCCATCAACAGATGAATGGATAAGGAAAATGTGATATATATATATATACACACACAATGGAATATTATTCAGCCATCAAAAAGAATGAAATCTTGGTGCCAGCCCGGTGGCATAGCAGTTAAGTTAAGCAGCAGTTAAGTTCACGTGGTCTGTTTCAGTGGCCCAGGGTTTGCCAGTTCATATCCTGGGTGCAGACCTACTCACTGCTCATCAAGCCATGCTGGGGCTGTGTCCCACAGAGAAGAATTAGGAGGACCTAGAAGTAGGATATACAACTATGTACTGGAGCTTTGGGGAGAAAAAAGAAAAAGAGGAAGATTGGCAACAGATGTTAGCTCAGGGCCAATCTTCCTCAAAAAAAAAATGAAATCTTGCCATTCATGACAACCTCATAGTATCTTAAGAGTATTATGCTAAGTGAAGTAAGTCAGACAGAGAAAGACAAATACCATATGATCTCACTTATATGTGGAATCTAGGGAAAAACAATGAACTCATAGATACAGAGAACAGACTGCTTGTTGCCAGCGGTGGGAGGGGGTACAGTAGGGGTAATGAGTGCAGGTGGTCAAAAGGTACAAACTTCTAGTTATAAAATAAATCATGGAATGTAACGTACAGCATGGCAACTATAGTTAATAATACTGTTTTGCACATTTGAAAGTTGCTGAGTACATCTTAAAGATTCTCATCATGAGAAAAAAAATTCTGTAACTATTTATGGTGATGAATGCTAACTAGACTTATTGTGGTGATCATTTCACAATATATGCAAATATTGAATCATATGTTGTACACCTGAATGTAATATAATGTTGTATGCCAATTATACTTCGATAAAAATAAATTATCACATGAAAAAAAACTTTAAAAAGAACCCAATGAGGTAGGTGTTATAGATGAACATTTATTTCCCAGTGTTCCTGCTTCCATGTAGAGAGGCAGAATTCTCTGGAGAAGAGCTTCCTGCCTTTTGCCCTCACACACCCTTATTTCCTCCTTCCCATGGAAGCAGTGACTCATCTACTGGTGAATCTAGGAGAAGGAGTGCATTTCTTTGTTCTTGAGATTGCAAAGCAATAGGTAGAGTGTATTCTGGCTGTTCTGGGGCAGGTGTGCCCAGTGGAGTAGACCTGACAGGAGCTCAATTCAATTCAGCAGGGGGTTATATTTGCAAATCCATTTGGCTCACCAAAATCACATGCATTCTTCAAAAAGTTTTATTGGTTATTTTAAAAAAGGAGGTGATAAGCTCTGCCACAATGAATATACAGTCATGCACCTCATAACAACATTTCAGTCAACGACATACCATATATACAACACTGGTTTCATAAGATTATAATGGATCTGAAAAATTCCTATCTCCTAGGGATATTGTAGCCATCATAACATTGTAGCACAACATATTACTCATGTGTTTGTGGTGATGCGGGTGTAAATATACCTACAGTGCTGCTAGTCATATAAAAGTATAGCACATACAATTACGTACAGTACACAATACTTGATAAGGATGATAAATGACTGTGTAACTGGTTTACATATTTACTATACTATAGTTTTTATTATTTTAGAGTATACTCTTTCTACTTATAAGAAAATGTTTATTGTAAAACAACGTCATGTTACGCCAGCAGCAGTCTTACACATTTTATGCTTATTGGGTCTTTTGGTTGCATCATTTTCTCTTAATCTCATGTTGTTTTTTCATCACGGCCTTTAAGCATACAAAATCCACTGCTAATGTTGCCAGTACAAGGCCACGTCAAGTGATTAACTAAGAAACAAAATTAAAAATGATTAGGGAATACGAAGGTGGAAAATCAGTGATGATTATTGCTCACCAGTTAGGCATGTCCCATACAACCATAGCTACAATCTTGAAGAACAAAAACAAAGCGATGGAAGCTGTAAAAGGATCTGCTTCATTAAAGGAAACTAGACTAACAAAAATTTGAGAAGGGCCTATATCAGACATGGAGAAACTTCTAATCACCTGGATTGAAGAACAGACACAGAAGCCTATCCCTCTCAGCAATTACAGCCAAAGCAAAAAGTTTGTTTTCAATGGTGAAAGAAAAGGTTGGACCTGACTATAATGTTGAATGTATTGCTAGCTCTGGGTAGTTTAAAGATTCAAGAATTCTTATTCATGACATTATGTGAAAGTGAGTGGTGAGTCCGCAACTGCTGATATGAAGGCAGCAGAAGAATTCGAAAAATTTAGATAAATTCATTATGGAGGAAAATTACTTGCCAGGGCAAATATTCAATATGTATGAAAACTCCCTATTCTGAAAACAGATGTCTGAAAGGACTTTTATCCATAAGTACATCAAGTCAATGCCAGGTTTCAAGACTTTTAAGGACAGGATAACAGTCTTGCTTGGGGGCAATGTTGCAGGCTACAAATTGAAGCCTTTTGTGAGCTGACACAGTGAGAACCCCAGGATCTTCAAGCATATCAATAAGCACACAGTGCCGGTGTACTACAGGAGCAATAAGAAGTCATGGATGACACATTTCTTCTTCCAAGATGCCCTCCTGAATTGGTATACCAGCAAAATGGAGAAGTATTCTTTGGAGAATAATATACCTTTCAAGATTTCACTTACTCTTGCTAATGCTCCTGGATATCGTCCTTTTATTTGTGATCTTCATCCCAATATCAATGTGCTGTTTTTCCTCCAAACAGCACCTCCTTGGTCCACCCAATGGGTCAAGGAATTATAGCAGCTTTTAAGGCCTATTACCTGAGAAGGATCTTTTCCCAAGCTATTTTTGCAACTGAGGAAGACACTGAGAAGACACTGACTTAATACTGGAAGGATTACAACATCTATGACTGCATCGGGAACCTTGCTTGGGCTTGAGGTAATGTCACCAAGGACTGTATGAATGCCATCTGGAAGAAGACACTCAAGAGGTTCATCTATGGCTTCAAAGGATTTGCCAAGAATAAGGAGGTTGCAAAAATCAACAAGGCTGTGGTTGAGATGGCAAACAACTTTAACCTGGCTGTGGATGAGGATGACATTGAGGAGCTCCTAGAGGTGGTTCCTGAGGAATTGACTAATGGGGAGTTGTTGGAATTGGAACAGGAATGCATAGCTGAAAAAGAGGCAAGAGAAAAGGAAGTGACAAGAGAAGAAAAAGAAGAACCCCCAAGAAAATTCACAGCGAAGGGTTTAGCAGAAGCCTTTGCAGACCTCAACAGGCTCCCTAAAAAAGTTTCAAAATATGGACCAGGACACTAAAAGGTTTTCATTAATAGAGAGGAATGCTCATGGTATATTTTCTGCTTACAAGCAAATCTATGATAAAAAAAGAAACAAACCAAGCAAACCACCATGAACATATTTCTGAAGAGTACGCCTCCTCAAGAAGAGCCTCAGGCAGGTCCTTCAGGATATATTCCAGAAGAAGGCATCATTATCATAGGAGATGTCAGCTCCATGCATGTTATTGCCCCTGAAGACCTTCCAGTGGGACAAGATGTGGAGATGGACGACAATGATATTGATGACCCGCCCCTGTGTGGGCTTAGGCTAATGTGTGTGTCTGTGCCTTAGTTTTTAACAAAATTTTGAAAAGAAAAATTTTAAAAAAGCTTATAGAACAAAGACATAAAGAAAGAAAATATTTTTGTACAACTGTACAATGTGCTTGTGTTTTAAGCTGTGCTATTACAAAAGTTTTTTTTAAAAAATTAAAAGTTTATAATGTAAAAGACTTACAGTAAGCTAATTTGTTATTGAGGAAAGAAAATATTTTTTATAAATTTAGTGAAAATTGTTTATAAATTATACAGTAGTGTACAGTAATGTCCTAGGCCTTCACATTCACTCACCACTCACTCACTGACTCACCCAGAGCAATTTCCAGTCCTGTAAGCTCCAATCACAGTAAGTGCCCTATACAGGTGCACCATTTTTTATATTTTCTATCATATTTTTACTATACCTTTTCTGGGTTTAGATATGTTTAGATACACAAATACTTACCATTGTGTTACAAGTGCCTACAGTATTCAGTACAGTAACATGGTGTACAGGTTTGTAGCCTAAGATCAGTAAGCTATACCATATAGCCCCGGTGTATAGTAGGCTATACCATCTAGGTTTGTGTAGGTACACTCTATGAGGTTCACACAACGACAACATCGCCTAAGGATGTGTTTCTCAGAATGCATCTCTGTCATTAAGTGATGCATAGCTGTAGAAATTTTCTAGGATCAAATGAAATAAAGAATGTAAAACTAATGTCATTCTATACAGATGAAATCTATTATTATTCTATGGCAGAAAACTTTAAATGTCTTTATAGATGATAGCATTCTTTATATCTGTATTTTCTACATAGCACAAAATTGGGCACATAAAAGAAGATTGCTATAAATTTGTTAATTGGTAGATTGAAGGCATGAGACAGTATAGACAGTATAATGCCACCTTTATTTTTCACATACTTTCTTCCTCTTTCTTCCCACAGAGAAGCAATTGTCAACAACTAACACAATCAGTAAGTCTGGTTTTAACACTGACTAGGTATTTGCTCAGACTCGTGCTAGATACTGTGGAGACATAAAGCATGAGACTTAGCCCCTGCCTTTTAGAATTATATAGTATAGTTAATGAGATGAAATACAGTCACATACTGTGGCATCAAATGACAGAATAAAGAGTTTGTACGAAGTTAGTGTTGGTGGAGGTCAAAGAATTGGAGAAGAAATTTGCTCCAGGAAAGTACCATGGAGGAAGTGAGACTTAATAGATGAACAGATATCTGCTGTGTACTTATCTCCAAGGAGATAGTTGTGCTTAAGACTTTCTGAGGGTGCTACACGGTTCCAAGGCAAGGTGCTCTATATATCACATACTGTCTCATCAAGTTTTAAAAATACATACATAGAGATGGAATCACATGAGCATCAATAGGAGCCATCTCTGAAGGAGAAAAGTCCATGTGGGAATTCTAAGGGGTGTATGCATGGAGGCAGAGCTGTTCCCATCTGCTTTGTAGGATGATGTTTACAATTTGACTGCTTGCCTATGAACTTCAGGTTCAGTTAAATTCAACAATTTTACTAAGGCTTCTCTTTGTAACAGGTAAAAGACTAAACGCTGCCAAAGATTGAAAGGTGAGTTAGAGGCTGATCAAGGTAAAAGATAGATATATGTGGAATTGACTGTGGAACAAGACACTATTTATAATAATATAACATACAAACGTACTTCATTTTTTCTTAGCAAAAGTGAGTCCCACAATCACTGCAGAAGTACAGGGACCTGATTTGTCCCTTACAAATTGTTGTGCCTTTCTTGCACCAGGCAGGTAAGCCAGAAGTACAAACTCCACAGATACCTCTGCACATGGAAAACACAAAAATGAAGATGACACTAGTAAGGACTAGGGAATAAGAGCAACGTCAGTTATTGGTCTAGTTTAAGGTGCGGTGTGTGATGGCAAGAACTTTACTATCATATGCTGTATACCATCAATACACAGAGTACAACAGATGTGCTTTGGAGGGTTCCAGTTAATACTTCTTTGGACGCTTAAGATGGTAGTGTGATTTAGAGAAACTAGTCTCAATAGAATATTCTCATTAAAACGCACTCATACAGAAAAAAAAAATTATGTGCTTAGTTGATTTGTTGGGAGACTTTTTTGGCTTTGAATTTCCTATATAAGCAATTATAGTTACCTTTACTTTGAATTGCTGGAGAGATTTGTAGCTGTATTTGAGATGCAGATTTGGAATTCAAATGTTTCTTGCAGAGTTGTCTTTAGAAGAAATTGCTGTATAAGTGGCAGAATCATATTCTGGTCACCATCTGTCTTGACATGAGTACAGCCATGTTTGGCAGCTCCATTGACCTACAGCCACCAGCACAAAAAGAAATACAAAGCTGCTTTCTGTGTGGTGGGAACTGGCCTTTTCCTGGGAACTGGCCTTTCCACCACGGAGAGAGTTGCAAGTTGTAACATTTCAAGGCTCTTGGAGCGTCGTAGCACGGGATGGACTGGCCATCTGTGACGGGCTAGGACGATAACCAAAGAGAACAATGCACGTACACAACTACTGGGCTGGGACGTTAGCCAGGGGGCTCAGTGCACGTATGCCACTGATAACCATTTTGTGCATGGGAACACTAAATGCTTGCTCTGCAAACTCTGTAGTTGCTTACTCTGAAAATTACTGCTTATATAAACTGCTGGAAGCTGAGACCTGGAGAGAGTTCCACCTGTGGAAGGGACACCTTGCCCAGGACGTGTGATCCTTGCCCAGCCGCGTCGATTGACAGAGCTCTCCCGGCAGTGGGGCGTGGATGTTGTGAGTAACTGATTTGATGTGAAGTAATTGATTTGATATGAAGTAATTGATTTGATGTGTTCTCTTTTCGGTTAACCTGGTGTTTCTCTTTCTGGTTGATTTGTGTCATTTCTCTTCAGCCGATGTGGGTATTTTCCCTTTCCAGTCGGGCTGATGTTTTTTCCCTCTTAATATTTGACCTATTTGGATCTGTTTGCAGCCTGTCAACTTTACTATCCTCTATATAATAAAATATACCTTCAGTCCATTTGTTTGGAGTGGAAAGTGTCTTTTACGTCTCCGATCGAATCCCCGAACCTCTCATAACACCGTCTTAGCACATTCATCATAGTACTTGTTGGATATTCTTGTTAGTCGGTCATCACGTCCTCTTCTCAGACTCATCCAGGTTCATAATTCTACAGGGTATACTTGCCTCCTCAGCAAATTGATTTCCTGGGTCACTTCTAAATATATATACATTTTTCTTTTCTATGTATGCTTCATTTTTGTTTAATAGCAATTCTTGGCATTTATTGGGAATTGATTTATTCTCAAGTTCCTTCATAAATAAACTATCAAATACGATACCAATGTCGCTTGATTAAAGCTTCAACCCAAAAAGGGTGCTGAAAGGGAAACTGAGTAAGAGGACATCAGGATGGTATACCTTTTAGCTGCCTTGCAAGGTTTACAGACGTGGAGAATTAAGCATTTCACAGTCTAAGTAAATAGAAGGTCTCCTTAAAGCTTAAAAATCAAGGGGCAGGGCCGGCTCCGTGGCTTAGCGGTTAAGTGCGCGCGCTCTGATGCTGGCGGCCCGGGTTCGGATCCCGGGCGCGCCCCGAGGCACCACTTCTCCGTCCAACGCGAGGCCGAGTCCCACGTACAGCAACTAGAAGGATGTGAACCTATGACATGCAACTATCTACTGGGGCTTTGGGGGGAAAAAATGAATAAATAAAATCTTTAAAAAAAAAAAAAAATCAAGGGGCAACATTACAGTGAGGGAAGGAACGTATTCTCCTTATTTATAATGAATGTTGGCATTTGTGTAAGTAGCTATTTTTATCTATAAATGCCATTATTCTCATCTACTCCATTTAGTAGAATCTTTTCATTATAAATTCCAATGTCAAATGTGAGGAAAGAAGCCACTTGTTCTGTGTTAACTGCAACATAAACAAAACATAGAAGAGATCCCTTCCTTCCCAGGCTGCGTGGACAATATTTTTGTGTAGGATTCTTCTCAATGTGATAGAGGTAATCATAAATTTTAGTCGCTGGAAGAAAAATATTAAAATTCTGAGAAGATAATTCTTCTAACTTGAAAGTCAAGAAGTATAATTTATGTGTTGATGAAAAACAGTACAGAAGCTGTCACAGGCTACAGTGTTCCTTTACACAAGACTTTCCTTTTGCACCAGCACAGAAACATGGCAACTATACTAAAGTATAAGAAGCACTTTTTGTGGACTTTGAGTTTGGGTTAGAAGATTATCAACCAGGATTTTCTGATCATGATCTAACTAATTTGTTAGGACTGACTGTACCAATGACCTGACGACAATCTAATTTAGAGTATTTCTTTGTTGTTTATGCTCTTCTGGCCTCAATATTAACAAAATGCCATCATGCTTTGGAATAAGTAAAGGCATTAGAATACTAATACATTAGAGTTAATCTAAAAATTAGTGAAATGACCAAAAACAAAACTGCATTTCAAGAACAATCAAGGTGAATCATGTGTCATAAAATAACCTGGGATTTTGTGTTCTTTAAGAGTAAACTAGGAACAGAATATGTTGAACCATCAACAAAACTAAACATGGGGGTAAAAAGAATATCTTGTTTAACAAATATTAATAAAAATACAAATGCTTGTGCTTTCATTGAATAAGAACATAACTCTAAAGTCACAAAGACGTTTTAGTTTCACTTGGTAATATATTATGGAGCAACTGAACGAACTGGACATTCTCAAAAGCATTCCTGTGGCTAGACTTGAGGTTCTCCCTTGTATTACTCAGGACTGGAAATTGTGTAAAGTTTGATCAGATAAGACATGTTCAAATATTGATTCATAACTCTATTAAAAAAATTCCCCAGATAGTCTGCAACGAGATAAGAATTTTTACACAATTTAGAGAAGGTGTATTGAAAATTCAAATGTTTTGCAAGATTTCTCTGTCGCCCCAAATGACAAAAAAAGAAAAAGGATTTATAAATTAGGGTGTGGCACAGATTCCTCTTAACCTTGAAGATATGACCACATCATTGTGAAGAAATGATGAAATCTATTCTTATATTGAAGAAAATGTTGCATCCTCCTATTATCATAGCTTACTAGTCTACAAAAAAAAAAGAAAGAAAACCTTAAATGGAGTCCAGAAATAAGAATCTATTCCAGAAAGTGAGTGTCCTCTATTACTTTGTGTGAGGAACCCTAGCTATGCTCCTATGGCTAAGCTACATACGCAGGGAAATAGTGGACCTAGAAAATGGCCTGGCTCTTTAAAGATTTAAACCAAACTACTGGAATTATGCCCAGAAGCAGATGGCTGGCCAGCTCTCCCTGTAGCTGCTTCTCAGCTGACAAAAGCAACTGCACAACTCAGGAGAAATATGCTTTAGGATGAGTAGCCTATAACCATGTACCCGTGGCCAGCAAATTTTTAAAAGGGTTTCAAATGTTTTCAGTTCTGAACAAAATCCTAGGCAGGAATCTCTGTTTGCAATATGGGCAGGGGATTCCTGCTTCATTCCCCTAGAGAATATGCTGATTAATTTCCCTGCTTTCAAGCCAGCTCCCTTCTTGAATTTCCCATTTCTTTTAGTGGCAGCAAGACAATATAGTGGTTAAGAATATAAACACTGGAATCAGACCACCTGGGTTAGAATTTGACCTTGGGCACATCATCTAACCTCTTGAAAATTCAGTTTCTTCACCAATGAAATGAAGAACATAATAATACATCACAGGGTTGTGATCAAGATTAAATGACATAATCAATTTAATGGGCTTAGCACAGAAATCTAGCATTTGATGTGTTCAACAAATGTTTAGTATTGTTATTATCAAGGGCACCACCGTTTTGCCAATCTTGGATTCCCAGTCATTCAAAAGAGAATTATTTTTTCTAATTTTTCTCTTTCATATGATTTATTCCAGCACCAGACCTTGTAAAGTATGGTTCCTAAACATCTCTGGAAATTATCCCTTTATTTTCAATATGGTAATCATCAATGTATTCTACCACTCCTCACCTGGAATACGGGAGTGCCCTCTAACTAGTTTCCCAATACATCTTGCTGTGAGATTAATTTTCCTAAATAGAATGCTGGATGTAAAGCCATTGAAGGTGAGCTAGGAATTTAAACACTCCTAGTAGCACTGGCTGTGGGTGGAACTACTCTGCTGGTTTGTAGAATTGCTATACCTTACTCCACAGTGAAGACCAGTGTTACCACTACAAGAACTAGAGAACTTATGACAAATATATCATTGCCATGGGTGCAGTGGTGATATGCTCTATAAGGGCAAAGTTGTGTCTGCTTTGCTCACCACTGCACTCTCATGGCTGATCACAACACAAGGCGGTAGACCTTCAGTAAATATTTGATAAACAAATATGTTAATAAATGAAATGGTATCACAGATGCCACTAGTAGCCTTATTTTTGTGTGAGTGACTTTTTGGTAATTTCAGATCATTCAAAGAGAGTTGACATGGTTGCTTGGCATCCAATTGTATGCCATGTTCCATTCAGCCTAAGTTGTGATAATTTAGTCATCATCTGGCATGTGAGATGTGAGAACAGGGAAATCATTTATCAACTTGAATGGTGTGCACTCAGACCTGATTAACAATGTGAGCAGGAATCAGCATGGCAGCAAGATCCCCACAGTTTCTAAAGACAAGTAAGTGAGAGAAATTGATTCTAAAAAATAAGAAGTTGTTGCTGGGAAGGAGAGAGTTCAAGAAAGAGCTTAGCCAATGAGAACCGTTTTTTAGTAGATAGAAATACGTTCACTGTTGGTTTCTGCCCAGTAAGCAAGTGGCAGATTATATTTTGAAATTCAAAAAACATGCAGGAACTACTTGCCCTTCCTGAAATAGACACTAACAACGGGTGTTGTTGCTATTCTACAATTCTAACACAAGTATTACTTATTTTTATTGAGAGAATAACAGCAGTATCTGCTAACCTAAGACTGTGCCTGAATCACATATGTCCAATAGCAGCAAAGGCCTTTAGAGAAGTATAGATGACATTCCTAAAAAGGGGCATGGCATTAACAAACAGGAGATGGTCAAATTTTTCAAAACCAAACAGAGAAGTTAGGTACTGATTTATGTAACTATTCTCAGAAGGTCTGACCTTTTCCAAGGTGACCTGTATTCAGATACAACGGGGTCTTAAGCAGGTCTAGAAGCTAAAGAACAGTGGAAGGATATAAAACATAGATCATCCTTATAACCTTGAAACATGGGTGTGTTACAGAATAAAATAAGAATATTAGCATAACCACCTATTTCACTCTTCTATCCTGTTCATAATTTAAAAGGTGGTTCCTCCTGTGTTATCCTAAATGATCCTCACAGCAACAGGATGAAAATATTGCACCATTCTACTGAGGAGAAAACTGAGGCCCAAGGAGGTGAGGTGACTTGCTCAACATCACATAACCAGCAATGAATCATATACTCCCTTGGTTATTATTAGAGTTTGGGTCTATTCATCTGTAAAATGGAAATAATCCCCACTCCTTCTGTCTGACCACATTTCGGGGAAGATACACTAAGATAATACATTATTATCCCATCTAGCACCTTGCACTTGGTAGGTAAATGGTTAGGAGTAATCATTTGTTCAGCCATCTGTGTGGCGTGGATCACAAGGCCAGACTAGCACAGACCCTAGGCTGAGTTGTCACAAAGGTGATGGCAAAGAGAAGGTAACTATAAAGAGAAACATCCTAGGAAGTTGAGATTTCCTTAGCCTACACTAAAGGTCGCCTGATAAATTTTAAATTATAATGGCCAGATTTGAGCAAAGAATAAGCAAAAGAACATAAGACGCCAATATTTCTAAGCAAACTCAAACATCTGGCTCTGTGTAAGGCACAGGCTCCACACTGTTCGTTTCCCTTCATCTACCTTCCCATCTGCGGGCCTATCTGCTAAAATGAAGGCTGTCTTCACAAAGCTCCCACAGTCGAGAGAGGCAACAGGCTTCAGAGTCAAGGAAACCTCAGTAGGTAAACGCCAACTTGGAATTTCTTGGACAGAGGGGTGGTGACTCTTAACATATTCAAGTCCCTTTAATAAGTATATGAATAGATGGGGGATTCTCTAGCACAAGCTGGATTTTTTTTTTTTTTTTTTTGGTAAGTGTTATTGCCTTCACACAACAGACTCCTCTGCTGTCTTTGGCAGCAGGACTACTTATAAACTTTTTACCACTACCACCTCCAGTCACCAACCTCCAGAGCATGAATTTCACATGGTGAGGTTCTCTATCAATCAGTGTCACAATCAGAGAGAACCCATTGTAAACAAATAGCATGATTACACTGGCTGCACATGTAAATGTTTCAAAAATAATTTGTAACTCAGCCCCTTTGAGATTATTGTTCTTTTTCCCACTAGAGCTGGGTTAGCATGTGGCTAAATTTTGTATACCCCTCCCACACTTCCACCTTCCTAAACACATAGGTACACACACACCCCTGCTTTTCTCCCTGAAAATTTCACAGCTGGAGGCTGAGGAGAAATAAGCTCTAGGCTGAGAACTTACTCTGGTTTCCCTGACCTGGGAGAGTGAAAAGATCTGGATTATATCAGGGATTCACTATGAATTTTCCACCCTCCTGTGTCTCATCATGTCCTACCTGCAAAATGGGAAGTTGAGGAGGCAGGAGTCTTATATTTCTGATTTAGCACTGCTCTAGGTTGGAAAATTAAAATTACAAAGCAAACAAATGCCAAGAAAGAAAAAAATTGTTGAGAGAACGAAACAAGTAACTAGAAACGGGCTTCTGAGTATTCTTTAAAGGGAAAGTATTATTACAAAGGTACATAACAGTCATGGAACTGTGTTTTTCGGACTTGGGTTGGTGCCAAGTTACAGTTCCTGGCCCTGCAGGGGGCCAGGCCCAAGTTTGGGAAAACAGAATCAGGGTCAGGGGCTATTGTGGCCTGGACACAGGCAGAAAGACACAACACAGCAGGCTTCCTTCCTGTCTTGTTCTTATCTTAGGGCACAGAGAGTGGGTGGGAGCCCGACTGGAGTGCAGGTGAGGCACGTTGAGCCCCCGATGGCTAGGGCTCCACCTCCCCTCCTCTTCCCCTACTAGCAACCCACACCCCCTCCCAGCGCTTGGACCCTCTCCCGCTCCTCCCTTGGCCCCTCCCTGGGCCCGCCCACGGTCTCCCACCCGGCTTAGGACTGCGTCATAAGTATCTCCAGACCTGGGCTTGCAGAAGCGTAAGGCAGGCAGCGGGAGAAAGTAGGTGCTGCTAGGGCTAGCGCGACCTTCTCCTTTTCCAACCTGCAGCCCAGGACGCTGATTCGAGCCGCGCCTTACCGCGCAGCCCGAAGATTCACCATGGTGAAAATTGCCTTCAACACACCCACAGCGGTGCAAAAAGAGGAGGCGCGGCAAGACGTGGAGGCCCTCGTAAGCCGCACAGTCCGAGCTCAAATCCTGACTGGCAAGGTAGCAGCCCCCACTTCACCCCTGACTGCCTACTAGGGTCGGGAAGGTGGGGAGGGGGTGGCTTGGGGGAAGAAAGGGGGAAAGGTGGCAGAGGACAAAATGAAAGCTGCTCTGCAGCTCCTCTGTTCCCGGGCTGTCCCCTCTGCGCTGTCCGTCGCGTTTGCCGGATAGCCCCGGTTCTGTCTAGTCGCGCCACCTTTCGCTTGCCGGTGCCCCACGCCCCTTAGCATTTCCGCGCGACTGGCCACGTTCCGTCGGTTCCAGCCCACGCTGCACATAGCGGAGGGATGTTGGAAGGAGTTTGAGGAGAAGCTCTGGGACCCAATGTCACCTTCTAACTGGGGAACATGTGGGGGGCTGGAGATCAACGAGAGAGGCATGACCCCCAGTTCCCAGCTCCAGGGGTGCACACAGCCTCCGCGGGGGTGGAGCGGACACGCAGGATGAGCAAGGGCAAGAGATTTGTCTTCTTTTGTTTCCTTTTGACGTGTATGAAGTTCTATGAATCTAAGTCTTTCTAGGATCATTGAGTGTTTGTGGAGGTAGGTGGGGGACAAAGGGCAGCTTAGACTTGCAGAGGTATGGGTTGGGGCAAGTGTGTGTCTGTGCCCGCCCGCCCATGTATATTTTCAGTTTTTTTCCTGGTCACAGGCGTAGTTAAGCATTCGGTAAAGGTGCTGTCAAAATTGAAGTTGCTCTTAATTAGAATTTGGGATGTTCAGTGTGCCCTGTTACTGCAAGAGCCTTGTATGTTTTCGGAGTGACATTTCCTAAAGAAAACACTCTTCTTCCTTAAAAAATGTTTGAGGTTTTTTTTTTTTCTTTTTTTAGTACTTCCTTTTTGAGCGATATCCCTCTACCCCACCTCCCCCATAGAGAGATCTGAAGCAACTCCAACCTCATAATTTAAACTTCTTGCATTGCCAGGAAGTGAGGGAATTTCCCCCCCAAAATGTTAGCCATTATTTATTTAGTCCAGTTTCTATTTCCTTTAAACATTTAATGTGTTTTTAATGTTTGTAAACTACTCCTTATTTTCCTCAGTAAAATCTCAATGTTAAAAGGCACAATCGCATTTTCTCATTCTACAAAATCTATGCAGTGTTGGAGCTTGCAGATCTGTCCTAACTTGTCTTGTTCTGTCTATAAAGTTTTAACTTTTGAGTTCAGAGTGGAGGTTTGAAAAGTGCTTTGAGTGAAATGAGAATCCACGTAGCCTAACTGATTATGTACTCAATTTGAAATGCTAATGTAGTTATGCAGAATTTTTATCATGGAAGTTTTCAATATTTAACCCAGCAATCAAACTAGCGTTTGTGTATTATACATGTCAGAACTCAAAAGTATTGTTCAGGTTTTGATTAGATGACAGAAAGTCAAATAAGTGATTGTCCCACTTACTTTGTAGGTGAAACATGGCCAGATTTTTTGGGAGGTCTAATTAGATGCCAGTAGTTAAATATAGCCACACAGTAATCCCTTTTTTTTCCCCTCACCACCAAAACTTCATGACTTGTAGTTGGACTCAGTTAATATGCAAGCAATACTTTTGCCAGGCCTGTGGTGTGATGAGGAATAAAGAAAAATGAGCACTATGATTATATTTCTTCATTAGGTGTTGGAGAAGCTCCCACAGGATCTTGACCTGGCCACTATAGGGCACTGATTTAATAATACTTGACGCATTATATCGTAATATATTGATCAGCTCATCAGAGATTGAGCACAACAGAATAGTATGTCAGAGGTGGTGTGAAATGACTTTAAAATACAGTTCAGAGAGAAATTAGCTGTGGTAAGCGACAGTCTCCACTACTCTGAAGTCCAGAAATTTAAATGAAAAAAAATCCTTATTCCTATATGGTGGGAAATTTTATGAAATTGAGACTCTAATACTTAGACCTTGCTTAATAATAAACTTGCTGAATTATCAGGAGAAATGCAATTGCAGTGTAAATTGTTCTTCTCTTATCTCAGTGACAAGAAAAAAAGAAATTTATTCCTTTGAGAATTTCAAATTAAGTCATTTTGTGACTTATAGGCAAGTCACCTTTCTGGACCTCAATTTAATCATCTAAAATATCATTTTTAAACCTCTACCTGTAGATTACGGTGATTCCCAATCAGATAGTTGTCTTCGTAGTGTTAATCTTAAGTTTTTTTAAATAAAAATAATTCAAAATTTCTGAAAATTATTGGGACGAGGAAAAGCCTTCAAGGTTTATAGCGTATTAACAGAATGTTTGAACTTAAATAAATTTAGCTAAAAAAATGTGAATACCAAATTTCTTTGAATTTTAAAGAAAAATCTTTTTTGACAAACCGTTTATCAAATGATTGCCTCTCCTTAGAATTTGTGCATTTGTTTGCACGAAATTAATTGCAGGTTAATTAGGTCCCATAAGCATTATAGTAGTTGGCCATGGAAAAGAGCTAATGGCCTGAAAGACTAAAACAATTCTATTTACATACCAGTCTGAATGATTTACCCTTTGATTACCAGAGATTAGATTTGCTGACTTCATTTATTCTACCCTTGAGTAATAATGCTCCTAGGGCATATTGTGACATAGAAGAATGGGATTGGAGGGCCTCTTGGTCCACTGCCCTGGCTGGGAAGAGTACAGAGTTAATCAGTTACGTGTTTGCTTTGGAACTTTCTTGTTACAATTCCTAAACAAATTATGGATTTAACAGAATTTTACAGCCACTGTTGCACACACAGCTTTCGCGCCTAGCTCTCACAAATTCTGTGCTTTAAAATCTAGTGTTCTGATCGGAACTTGGAAAACCTTATTTCATTCATGAAATATACAGCTATAGAACATTGCTGACATTAGGAAGCCTAGTTTTTAATTAAAATTAGGAACATTATGAAATATATCTCACCTTCAATATTTTAATTTATAAAATAGAGGAAAATGGCATATACCTGCCTTATAGAACACCTTCCTATAAAACTTAATTTTTAAAAAGCAGCTTTTTAAAATCAGTTAATAAATCAAAGGACATTAATTCACTTTTAAGTTGGCAAACAAGTTGATTTACAAAAAACAGTGAAGAAACATAATTGTATTCCAAAATGTTACTGATTATATCCATGTGTAAGTCCAAAAAGTAACAACTTCCGTTTATTAAAGAGAATAACTTATTGCATAAGTGAATAGTTATGTTCAGCTGATTCTAGAAATGTTTATTTTCAAATAACTTCATATCGATATTTGGGTTTGGAAATGCCAGAAGCAAGGTTAATATAATTAGAGATTTTCACATCTATTAAACATCAGAAATTGTCTTGAAATGATTTTAAGCTACGAAAACTTAAATAACATCTTTTAAAAATATCTTGAATTTCAAGGAAGGTAAATTGTACACAGAAGCAACTATGTGTCTAAAAGTGCAATCTGGTTTTTGTTTTTGGTTTTGCTTTTTAATAAATAGGAGCTCCGAGTTGCCACCCAGGAAAAAGAGGGCTCCTCTGGGAGATGCATGCTTACTCTCTTAGGCCTTTCATTCATCTTGGCAGGACTTATTGTTGGTGGAGCCTGCATTTACAAGTACTTCATGCCCAAGGTAATAATAATTACAATTCTTACAATTTGGATTACTAATTGCTATACATTTAGTAGCAACTTAAATAATTATGTGGTGGTCATCAGAGATATGAAGATTTAGGGAAAGTTTTCAAATTACCTCTCAGTTTACAAAATTGATTTGTGTTCAGGGTGATAACTGTAATCAACAATCCTCAGCTTGACAAACAGTACAATGAATTGATATGAGTGTGAGCAATGATTCAAATGTCATGGTAGTGAGTATTAGAAGGTTTTAATTCTCTCTTTTTGTCTTTTAGAATACTATCTACCATGGAGAGATGTGCTTCTTTGATTCTGAGGACCCTGCAAATTCCCTTCGAGGTGGAGAGCCCTACTTCCTGCCTGTGAGTGAGGAGGCTGACATTCGTGAGGATGACAACATTGCAATCATTGATGTGCCTGTCCCTAGTTTCTCTGACAGTGACCCTGCAGCCATCATTCATGACTTCGAAAAGGTGGGTTTCTCATTCGTATAGGTACTCCTGAGTTTTCTTTTTTCTTAGTTCATTGGTAAATGTTAAATCTGTTCATAAATGTACATCTTTTTGCAGCAAAGCCTTGTTCATTTTTTTGCTACTGAATATACATTAGTTGACTTTGAAAGGATGTAGCTGCTTGTTCTAATGGTAGTTGGAAAATCTGCCGTGTCTGTAATCTCTATATCATACCTAACTTTTTTCCTCTCCCCAACAGGGCATGACTGCTTACCTGGACTTGCTGCTGGGAAACTGCTACCTGATGCCCCTCAATACCTCCATTGTTATGCCTCCAAAGAATCTGGTGGAGCTCTTTGGCAAACTGGCAGTATGTATTTTGGATGTGAAATTTTTATATAAGCATTTCCAAATAATTTTGCCTCCTCATTTAAAAAAATTAATGATTTGAGCCAAAACATTCCATTTCATTGAAATAATTTTCAAATAAAAAGTATGCTGTGAACCTAAAAGTGCTCTAAAAAATGAAGTCTATTAAAAAAAGTATATCTGCTTATAGGCAAGGATTTAAAAGTGTTTTTTAAAATTTTTATTTCAACTTTTTTTTTTTATTTTTAGAGAGGCAAATACCTGCCTCACACTTACGTGGTTCGTGAAGACCTGGTTGCTGTGGAGGAGATTCGTGATGTTAGTAACCTTGGCATCTTTATTTACCAACTTTGCAACAACCGCAAGTCCTTCCGCCTTCGTCGACGAGACCTTTTGCTGGGTAGGCAGTTCATTCCTTCCTTCACTCTGTGTTATTGGGATAGTGAAGGAGAGTGGAGGTGCAGTACAGGGAAAGGTGGAGGGCAAATCTAGACATGTTTTCATTTACATAAAAAATTAAAAAGTCACTTTTTGTGCATTTCCTCATAGGTTTCAATAAACGTGCCATTGATAAATGCTGGAAGATTAGACACTTCCCCAACGAATTTATTGTTGAGACCAAGATCTGTCAAGAGTGAGAGGCAACAGAAAAAGAGTATCCTTAGTAATAAGAAGTCAGAGATTTACAATATGACTTCAACATTAAAGTGTGTGAGATACTCAAGATATTTACTCATGCATTTACTCTATTGCTTATACTAAAAAAGAAAAGGGAAAAAATATACTAACCATTGCAAGCTCTTGTCAATTTTTAGTTTGATTGTCATTGCTTGTTGTTTGAAACTGAAATTAAATAATTCTTATGTTTTTCTTTTGAATTTATAGGGTTTAGATTTCTGAAAGCAGCATGAATGTGTCAGCTAACATCCTGACAATAAATTCCATCCTTTGTGATTTTTTTAAACTAACTGCTTCACTCAATCATATGGTAGATCATGTTTTACATTTAAAATATTTAAAATTGTTTTTCACTTTTTTCTATAAACCATGTCCAATCTCTTACCATTGTTAACTTTTGTTTTGTTTTTCATTTTGTGCAACTTTCCTGAATTTAGAAATTACATCTTTGCATTTCTGTTAGGTGCTCTGTAATAGATCTGATTTATATGTGAAAAAACTTCATAAAAAATCACTCTAATGCAGTTATTCTTTCTCACTGATATCGGTATTGTGAAATCCACACAGCTGTACAAGTGCTGAATGCTGTAAGGAATTTAGGTTGTATGAATTCTACAACCCTATAATAAATTTTACCATATTCAACCACTGTTTCTCACTTGAGGTATACTTAATGTGAACAATTAACGTTACTTATTTAGCTTTGGTTTACCTGCAATAAACCTAAGTTATGAGCCTAGCTCTGCCCTTACTCCCACCTCCACACATTTATATTTTATAATTTCATAATTTACTTCTGTTTTGATAGTATATCAATTACTCTTTTATAAATACTCCATAATTGGCTTACATGTAAATTCAACTATTTAAGAGCTTTCAAGCCCATAGCAATTCAAACCTTTAAATGTGTTTCCTTTTTCACAAAAAAATAAAACCCATATACAGCTATAATAGGTCACTAAGAACTAACCTTGGATAAGATGTTGGTGACTTTTAATAACTTCACATGCTGTTATCACTACCTAAGAGTATAAATTCCATACAAAGGGGGCCAGTACTTTAGACTCTTTCTCTTGTTTTAGGTTAAAAATTGTTCCTTATATCACTGATCAATATTGACTATTGATAAATTTTGGTAGCCAAAACTATACCCAGTCAAATACATAGCCCTAAATACTCTCCTTTAAAAAAAATGAAAGAAAATACACTAACTAAATATTTAACTTCAAGAATTTAGAAATAAAACTATAACACAAACCTGAAAAAAAGATGCAACAATTAGAAAATAAAAATGAACTGAAAAATTAAAAAATTGGTTCTTTATAAGGAATGAGAACATTTAGAAGGAATTTGATAAAATTAGACACCTATTCCTTGTTTAAAAGTATATATAAAAATTAGAAAAAGGAAAATACATTTTTTACAAATTTATCTTAATAGTCAGCATCATGACTAATGGTGAAACACAAAAAAGGATGGTGGCTATTGCAGCTATTCCATGTTGTTTTAGACATTCTGGTCAATGCAATAATATGTGAAACAAATAACAAGTACCAGTTTTTAGAGGGGGATGAAATTATGTTTATTACTATGTGGGATTTTTTATATAAAACACTAGTGCATTAATTGAAAACTTTAAAAATCAGTGAGCAGATTCAGTATAATATAAACAAAAGCCAATGGCTTTTTTTATATCACCAACAACCAATTAAAAAGGTAATACAAGCAGGTAAAAAATATTCTACTCTTAATAGTAACAGACAGAAAATAGCACTGAAGAAGAAATTTATGGAATTATTATGAAGAAAACCACAAAACTTAAGAGATACAAAACAATAGGGAAGAAAGAACGTTACAAATAGATAAATTGCTCCCCAATTAAATTTATCGGCTTAAGGCCATCCCAATCAAAATCCCAAAAGAATTGTTTTAGGAACTTGACAAAATTATTTGAAGGTTCATCTGGAAGCATAAATATGTCAGAATAGCTAAAAAGAAAAATGAGTAATTGGAGGCAGGGTTTTCTCAGTAACAACTGTGAAACCACAGCCAAATTGACAATAATTTTAAAGGTGACATTTACACAAGATAGAAAACATGATTCCAAGAAAGAGCTCCTAGTGTGTAAAAGAACAGGATCCTAAAGGAAGTTCCATGCAGTGAGATGCATTGTTTATTAAATTGTGTTGGTGAAAGTGGCTGAATGAAAAAGTAAAAGTCCTAGTTGCTACAGTACGAAATAACATAAGGCTAGCAGCCCCCAAGTGCAACCTCTTCTAAATTTTCACTACCAATAAATATTTTGAAAAATAGAAAATCCTCATAAACACTAAAAGTAAAACTGAATGAAAACTTGATGCTGGAACCTGTGAGGAATTGATATGTGATGGAGACTAGCTCTCCTATCGTTTGTCCACTCACTCAGAACCCAGGATCTGTATTAACCAGAAAAGTGAGCAGTCATCTATCTAAGAGATGTTCTGTGAAGCATAGTTTTAGGTTTCGTACCTTGTGCTACTTTTCCTTTCTATCCTTTCACCCACCCCCACCTGATTATTAATTGAATAGATTGATTGATTGATTCATTCATTCATTCACTCATTTGCCAGGCATTGTTCTAGGCACTGGGGACGTGTACAGTTCTGAGCAAAACAGACGTTGACACTACCCCTGTTGAGCATCTGGCCTCCTGGGGGCAGAAAGACTTTTTTTTTTCCCCCCAAATAATTACACTATTTTGTTATAAAGAAAAAATGTAGAATGCTTATGAGAGTTTATAACGGGGATGCAAATCCTGGACTATTAATGAAGGCTTAACTGAGAATGTAAAATCTGAGCTGAGAGCTGAAAGATGAGTAGTATAAATGAAGTAAATAAAGGAGAACATTTCAGTGAAAAGAAAGTGGGAGCTAAGTTCCTGAGGCAGGAAGGAGTGTGGTTGTTGGAAAAAGTGAAAGAAACAGAGGCACATTGAGTAAAGAGAATTGTATGAAAAGAAGTTGGAAAATAGACAAGAGTCCAGATTATGTAGGACCTTGTAGGTTATGTTAAAAGTTTTGTCATTCTTAAAGTAGTAGGAAACCGTTGAAGGATTTTAATTAGAATCATGGAAGAGAACAGATTGATATTTTTAAAAGATCACATTGGCTGCAGTGAGAAAAGGGAAGTAAGTAAGACCAGTTAGGAGGTTATTTCAGAGGTTCAAGCAAAAGATGGTAGTAGATTGGACTAGGAAATTGAAAATGATGAAAGAAAGAAATAGAGGAAATGGAGATATATTTTTGGTATATGATTGATAGAAAATAGGGATTGGATGTGTAGAGTAAGGAGTGTCAAGGGGTTTTGTCATTGATGACTCCCAGGTTTTTGGCTTATGCACTTGGATGAAAGGTAATATGACTTGGCCCTGCAGATCCCAGAGCTCACTCAGGGTTGATAGAGGGAAATTATACTTGACATGTCACTCAGAGTCTTGGCAAAAAACAGATAGCACTCTCAAACAGGCTAATGAAAAGAGTTTAATAAAAGGGACAATTTATTAAGGTGTAAGAAAGGTTAATAGGAACAAGTCTTGGTGAAGCTCGCTAGGACTAGTGACAGTGAAGAACCCTTATGAACCCTAGCTTTGAAGATGTAAGGGGAAAGAATGATTCCCAGAACCTGGTAAGACTAGCTATAGGTGAGGACTTTCTCTGACAGGAGCTGTGGCCTTTGGTAAAAGGACAGAGCCAATTTGCCCTTTAATCTCCTGCTAGTGTCCCCCATATGCCAAACTCAACTACAAGCCAGAGGGAAAAGAGTGCATTGATGCAATCCACAAAGTTTAACCTCCCGGTTATAAGCAGAATGGGTAAGAGTGAAGAGTGGTTCTAGAGAACAAAGCAGGGAATATCCAGCACAGCCCATTCTTTTTTTTCCTCAGCATCCACTCTTATTGTTTGTCCAGATAAAATATTCATGTCCTCAACATAAAGAACACACAAATTCCCATCAGCTACTATCTAATTGCAAGGTAGCATCAATCAAATGATTATTTCCACCAGAAAATAAGATGTTAGTTACCACCATTACTCTTTATTTAAGCATGTGGCCCTGGGAAGAAGGTAAAAAGAAACAAAATAAAGCATAGGTTCTTCATCCCCTGATTTTCTAGCTGCTTATGAGTCCTAAGTTAATAATCATAGTTTTTTTCTTTTTCCACAACAAATTCTTTTTCCTCCTTTGCCCTCTGAAGCGTCTTGGCTGGATACGTTTTGTTTTACCTAGCAGAATAACCCAAACTTTTATCACTGCAGGATCTGAGTCTTTGATAGTCTTATATTTGTTGTAGTTTTTCATTGATTATGGCTATTTGGCAAGAGAGTAAAAGAGGCACCTCAGTGAATCCGTTGGGTTCCAATAATAGTTGTCCTTGGCTTTATTGTGTAGCAGCAACCCAAAATCCCCTTGATAATCAGAATCCAGAACCCTAGCCTGTACAGTGATTCTGTGCCTGTTAGTTCATGAGGAGCCTCAAATAGCTATGAATCAGCCTCAGCTTCCAATTTAATGAAACCACGCCTCTATTCTCTAGTGGAAGCATTCTACTCTTGAGTAGTAGGACTTCCAACCCCAACAAACCCAATATTGCGGTAACAGAAAACAAAAATTCCTTCAATACATTGTTAGATATAATAGCGAGAGGGGAAACTCCCACCTCCACGCATTGGTTCCTGGCTGTGGGGGAGAGGTCATCATTTATTGACTGCTGCTTTAGGTTGCTGTCTCTCAACTGGCACAATCACTGAATCTTCAGGATACCATTCTTCATGTCCAATTTTAATGATTTAATGCATCAGATAATACCATTTCTTGGATGAGTAGTTTGGGTTTCATAGTAATTTGGTGTCCCATAGTAAGGTGTTCAATCTCTTAATAGGCCTGTTAAAAAGACAGGAGTAATATTTCAAATTGAGAATAGTTGTCAGAAGAAAAGGGCACAGCCTTACTCCAGAATCTTAGGAGGTGGCGTGATTATCTTAGAGTATCTTTGTCTGCCACAGAAACTTCCAGTAACATTGTGTCTGCTGGGTCATAAGGCCCAAGTGG